AAAATTTATTTCTAGTATTAAGATGAACACATTTATTTCCTAATTCAAGACTTTTTTTGGGGGGGGGTCTTTTTGAGGAAGGGTCTCGCTGTGCAGTTCAGGCTGGCCTTGAGCTCACTTTGTGGCCCTGGCTGGTCTTGAACTCCCAACGATCCTCTTGCCTCAGCCTCCCGAGTGCTGGCATTACAGGTGTGTGCCACCATGCCAGATACCTAATTCAAGACTTTTAGCATTCACATTTTTGCTGTAACATCATAACTGTAGTTCCAGATTAATTTTAATCATGATTTTTTTCTATATTACCCTCATTTCAAAGGAACTAGTGTAGATTTTACTAGCTCACCATTATATCTCATATATTTGTATTTTTCCTTTCCTTACCTTTCCTTTCCTTTTACTTTTCCCCCTTGCTTTTTTTTTTTTATCTTTTCTTTCTTTTTTTTTTGACGGGGTTCCAAGGCTGGGCTCAAACTGTAGTCCTTCTGCCTCAGCCTCCAAATGCTGGAATTACAGGCTTGTGCCACTATGCCCAGCTAATGCCTTTATTTCTTATGCTGCTTTGACTCACTCTTGCGTCGACTGGCTCATTTCCTCAAGGTGTTTGTATGAAGACATGAGTGGTGTCCTCTGAAAACATACACAGTGGTTGTGAATGTTTTTGCCGTCACAATGGATGGGCCTTGGCCCTGCATAGAAATCATAACTCTGTATCAGTGATGTAATGTGCAGGGTTCTCTTTTGCATTATCTGATTACCTTCAGGGAGAGAGGCAGAACAGAGAGGGAGAGTTACAAATTCTTCCATAACTGAAGATACCACACTCGCTGTGTTGTAATGGTCATTAATTAGCATAGTTTCCTGCTCTTTTAAAGGGACTTATCTACTGGGTCCATAAACACACAGACACTGTTTTTGTTTGTTTGTTGTTTTGTTTTTTGAGACAGGGTCTGGCTAGGTCATTGAGTTTCCCAGGCTAACCTGGAACTTGATGTCCTCCTGCCTCAGCCTCCCAGAGTGCTGGCGTTACAGGCATACAAACCTACATTTTAAAAGGTAATCCTGACTCTCTGAGTTTGCTACTGTTTTGTGAGTTATAGATCTTGTTTCTGAGGGGGAGAAATTAAAAGCTGTGTAAGTTCATTAATTAATGGTCCTGTATGCCTTCTTATAAAAATAATGGAAAGTAAATTGACTGATAGTGAAATCAGCTTGGTTTCCTCTCCCCAGTACATTAACACCCTTGTGACTGTTTTCCAGGAATAGCAGGCTTTGCAGCAATTGTTGCATATGGATTATACAAATTGAAGAGCAGGGGAAACACTAAAATGTCCGTGCACCTGATCCACATGCGTGTAGCAGCCCAAGGCTTCGTTGTGGGAGCAATGACCCTTGGTAGGTTCCTAGGGAAATTTTCAAATTTGTGGCCAATACAGTTCCTTATAGACAGGACAAAGTAGATGGTTTTAGTTAACATTGAAGCTATTTAAAGATACCACTTATTTTCATGCAAAAATATTAAAGTAGTTTTACTGTTATATATATTCAGATATATAGATAGATATCTATATAGAGAAAGATATATATGTATATATATATATAGAGAGAGAGAGAGAGAGGAAGGGAGGGAGGTTGTCATTGAGAGTGTATCCGTGTGGACAAGGTTGGTAGTAACATCAGTTTTCTGAGAAAGACGTGTGATTGCTATTTTGCTGAGTTTTTGAAGGTAGAAGAGATTTTGTTTTTAGGTGTGGATACTAACATCTGTTTTGGTCATTATCATTTATTTATCTGATACTGTAAAAAAGATTGGCTCCTTTAAAGATGCCAGGTATTCATTGTTCTTTAAAACAAACACCAACATTGTGAACGAGTCATACTTGCCTTGAGTAACTGTAGAAATTATATATAAAAAGAGTTTCAGAAACTTGCCGGGCGTGGTGGTGCACGCCTGTAATCCCAGCACTCGGGAGGCTGAGGCAGGAGGATCACTGCGAGTTGGAGACCGGCCTGGGCTACACAGTGAGCTCAAGGCCAGCCTGAACTGCATAACAACCCTGTCTCAAAAAGACAAAAAAAAAATTTAAGTTGTTCAAGAACACAAGAAATGCAATCCTTCTTAGGTTCCCCCCATTAATAGTCTGTGCTGGCTAGTTTTAGGTGATGCTATGAGCTATTCTGTCAACTGTTTTTCTGGATGTTGAAGGAAATAGTGCAATGCTTAACTAGCGTTTTTTTTTTTCTCTTTAGGTATGGGCTATTCCATGTATCGGGAGTTCTGGGCAAAGCCTAAACCTTAGAAGAAGAGATGCTGTCTTGATCTTTTTGGAAGGGCTTGTTTTAGTTAGACATTTCATGTTGAGGTTACATATTTGTGTCAAAAATAAATCATCTGAGTTGGTTCAAACTATATTATAGTATCTTGAATAATGTTTTTTCCTCAAAGACTTGATGACCAAGTTAGTGTTGACTGGTTCACTAACTGTGTCATTTGGGGTCAACATGAAAGAAACAGGTCACCTGCATGCACTTGATAGTGTTAAAAAGTCCACCTTCCCTAAATCCTCATGACCAAATTCTTTCTACCGCTGGCCAGCCCTGAAGTACTGCAGCTCTGCTGCCAAATACTGCATGCCTTGCGTGTTGGGTAGGAATCCTGTTGGCCTCAGCTATCTCAGCTTTTATTTATCTGCCTTCTGGACCGGTGTGAGGACTTCAGTGTTTAGGGTTGGCTGGCTCTTGAAGAACTCTTTCAAAACACACACGAGATACGACTTACAAACCTTCCCACAGCAATGTGTGTGTTTGTGTGCTCAAACCTGGAAAACCTATGTCAGCGCTGCGTAGAAGTAGTATTTATTTCGGAATCACATTTGTAAACACAAGAATAGCTTACCTATGAATTACAGTTTAGCTCTTTTATAATTATAGAATTATATTTTTGCTGCTGTTGTATTAGAATAATTTTTAAATGTCATCTTGAAATAGAAGTATTTAAGTGCTAATGCACCGATAAAGAAACACTTTCTAAATGTGTGCAGTACGTTTATTTTCTCTGTCAGAATTGTAAGTGTTAAACACTTTACCCAAAATGAGGCGATCGGTGGTTTCATAGCAAACTGGTTTAGTCAGACGTTACACACAGACCTTGATACACTACAGAACGTTTGTAAATACTTGTAAAATTCTCTTCTCTACCCTGAACTTACATTCCCTGGTGGCAACATGGTGTCTGTGTCATGCTATTAAAGTAGGTGAACACATCAAATGTCTTGTGTTTATTTCAATTTGGAAAAATAAATTATTTGGCAGAGGGGCACAAAAATTGGGACACAAGAAATAAGAAAGCCTTTTTTCTCTTCAGCAGCAACCGCAGTTAAAGCTACCTCGCAGACAGAGACGGAGGCCAACAGCTGGCTGAGCGTTCGCTGCGTGCCGCCCCCTGCTGAGTCGGTCCAGCGTCCTGAGCCCCGAGAGCTGGGGACCGCGCAGCCCCTCCTCGGGATGGAGGCAAGAGCGGCTGCGGCGGCTCGCCTAGCCGGGAGGTGTAGCGCCGCCACCGATCTGGCGGGGCAGTTGACACCCTGGTGCACCATGCCGTGTGGCCCTAGAGCCAGCCCGTGCTGGTACCCCCGGCCCATGCAGAGCAGATGAGATTGTCCTTGAAGAAGGGTTTAAAGCACTTTTTTTAAAAGGAAAATCCCAAGAATGTTGAGTAATGTAGGTGCCGAGCGGTGTGAGGGATTTAAATGCTGGCCTGTGCGAAATTACTGCTGGAGTGGCAGCAGTTACCATAGTGATTAAAATTACACAAGACCTCGGGCATGGCCTTGACTCGCTGTTGCCTGTGTCACCTGGACCAAGCCAGGGCTTTCTTGTTCTTTCTCTGTCTACAAAATGGGAGCCTGGGCTAGATAGCTTCCGTGGTCCTGTCTGAGATCACTGTAGCTCTGTAAAAGTGCTTTAAGAGTGTAAGATACTATTTTTAAGACCTATTTTCTTGCTCTAGGTAGACAAGATGCTTGTGGACAGTCTCACTGTTGCCTTATAAAAGAAGGCTTAGAGGAACAGGTTTCAGGAATTTGCCCCCTTTGGAGGGTTCCTCATCTGATTACGTTCTGCCTTCTTAGATTCCCAGTAACCCCTTGGTTGGCAGAAATGATGTAATGATTCCCTCAAAATAACTTAAGAAACATGAAGTACAAACTCAGGGAAATTAAAGACCTACGGAACAAGTCCTCTACGGTTTCACACATTCAGATACGTTTATCTGTAGCCATTACATGGTAAGAACAGTGTAGATAATAGAATTCCTAGTGCACAGTTTCATGGGGCAGGTTGCAAATACTGCAATGAAAAGCCTGAGTCATGGGACATTCTAAATTAGTAACTTCGGTTTTGCTTGGGTGGTTGAGAATTGAAAAGTCCAGTAACTTTAATAAGAGATTAGTCTTGATGCTAACCTTCTTGGTTGATGTTCAGAAAATTGTTCTAATGAGTGAGTGCGCTATTGATTTTGTTTGGGTAAATGCTCGTTGCGGACTTGCCCCTCTAGAGGGTAAAGAGAAGCGTGGAGGGAAGTGTTAAGGCGGACGTGAGCGCTGCCAGTCGAGAGGAAAGGGGCAGGTTTGCCAGCGGAAGAGGAGTGGTGGACTAGGTTGCACGCACAGGATGGTGCGTGGTCACAGAGGTCCTTAACAGCGGCGCAAGGGGCTGTGATGCTGTGTCGCTGAATGAGACCTGGGTTCCCGGTCCTGCCACTCCTAGCCAAGTAGGCGTTTCCTGTAAAACGGGGACGATGTCAGTGCCGGGGGTTGCAGGTGAAATGCAGTAGTGCAGTGTAAAGGGCCGGCACAGCGTGCGGAGAGATGATGGCTGTGCTAAGTACAGGGACACGGCAGCCCTCTCAGGATCTAGAGGAAGGAAGGCTGGCGTTAGAGAGTGGCCACACAAAGCACGCTGACCGCTAGGTGCAGGATGCAGCGCGATGTCCGGCTCAGGGCTGAGGCAGGAGGAGGTCTAACGGAGCAGTGCTCCACCTGAAGGAGCTGGTGTGTAGATTGTTCAGTTTGTTTTCTTGGCTCAGTGTTGGATGTTTTGGACATCACGTGTGATTGCCCGTACTCCCCGCCCCAGCTGTGTCTCTGAACGCACGATGGTCTTTTTCATCCAAGCGCCTTGCATTAGTGCCTGGGTTAGGAAAGACTTCAGTGCTTGTATGAATTAGCAGAGGCTTTGTGTGTCTACATTCAGGGGCCCACTGTCCTTAGAAAAGAGTTACAGCTGCCCCTCCATGTCTGCAGATTCCACAGCCACATGTCGGAAGTATTATTTTTAATTGCCTGAACATAAACAGATTTTCTTACCACAATCCCTAAACGTAATATAAAATTATTTACATAGCGTTTACATTGTGATCTCCAGATAGTATATGGGAGGACATCCACAGGTTACGTAGGAGTACTGCGACATTTTATGTGAAGGACTGGAGAATCTGGGCTTGTGTCCTGGAACCAACCTGCTGCAGGTACCCGGGGATGACTTCCTGTTTCTAGTTCCTGAGCAACAGTGACCTCTGGTGGTGAGAGTTGGATTGTGACCCCCACTTTCCTACCCTCCCTAAGTAGTTTGTTTCGGAGTTGGAATCTTGGAGAAGTCCAAGCCTCTTTTCTCACAGATAAATTGCTCAGAGAATTTCAGGGACTTGAAATTTAGGCTCTGTCCCCCCTGCAAACCTACAGCCTGTCACATCATAGCCGGCAGTCCAGAACAAACCCGAAGGAGCATAAAAAGTGTTAGAGCTCCCCCAGCTCCTGGGGGAGCTGCCAGTCACTCTGTATATATGTGGTCTGTGTGGAAGCTCTTCAGATCTGAGAGAGGGCCCGTGTGCCAGCCTGGACCATGGAGCCACTTTCCAATGAGTGAAGTCTAGTCTCCACTTACGAAAGACCCAGCACCGCTCACAACCTGGTTTCATTTCTAGATAAAAAGCCTGCCTTCCCCTTAGCCGTGAACGTTCCGTTTCCCTGAACTGCGTAGTGCTGCCAGCCCACCCCCCGCTGAAGGTGCAGGTCTCCCACCTGGCAGTGTGACACACGGATGCAAAAGGAAGACCAAGGGGGGATATTCCGCAACTGAGAAGCTCTGGATGACCATTGTTCTCTGTGGAACAAAGGGCCACAGTCTGAAAGCTCCCGGCTTTTATTGGTGGGTGGGGATCCTGGCAGAGTGCCAGGGAAGAGAAACTTCGCAGGCATGGCTGTAAGGAGAAGCAGCAATTTTGTACCAGGCACAGAGGCGCTCCAGTTAGCAATGCAACAGATAGTTTGATGTATGCAAGGCTGGCGCCTCTACTGCCAGAAAGGTGTAATTCTTTCTGGTCTGGTGGCCTCAGCTGAGATGTTGTCTCATGTCTTGGCCCTGAAATCTCACAGGCTCTTGCTTGAGCCCCCATTCCAGCCATCAGCAGGTGAGGCAGTTCTCACCTGCATGCTGCATTGAGACGTGCTGGCGCCTCAGCCAGACTTGATCACGTCTGGTTCAGTAGAGCCAGCTGCGCATACCTCAGTGAGCAGGGCTGCAGTGATGGTCAGGGAAAGATGGAGGAGAGCGGCTTCATTAGGAGAGCGCAGCCTGGCGGTCTCCACGTAGTGCCAAGCGCGTGTGGAGGAGCGGCTGGTGTGCCGTCCGTCCCGTCAGAGCGGGAGCCCAGGAACAAGGCCCCTGTGGTACTGCGTGCTTCTTATACCACTGGCGTAGGCCCGTCTTCTATCCCAGTGTGACCCAAGGACGAGAGGCTGACCAGAATTAGCCGTCACCCCACCAGTTCCGGTGCTTACCTCCTCGCACCTCGTCCTCACCCACATTTGCTGTCTTCCTGCTGGCGGCCCTTCTTCAAACACGCATTTCTGTCAGTACGTCCGCCCTCCCCTGTCAGCCCGTCAGCTCTTAGCGGCAGCTTCCCTCCCTCTTTCTTGTCACTGTTAAACCGGTCACCAAGTCCTGTGGGGAGCAGTGTCATCGTTCACTTGTACCTTTTCCGTGTTGCCACCACTTTCAGCTGAGGCCCTTCGTGTCCTGTTTCTGCCACCTGGTGCTGGTTATGTTTGGTTCAGTCTAAGAGGGGAGCTGAGGAGGTGGGCTTCACTGTGGAGGAGGTAAGGGAAACGCCAGTAAGTGCGTAAGGCGTTAAGGCCTAGTCAGCAGGGGACGTCCTGATCCTTAAGGAGATCCCGTGATGTCCAACCAAGCGTTTTGAAAGACTATGGCACGAGCCAGGAGTGGAAGTGAGAAATTTGGAAGGAAAATAAAAATGCATTACCAAGCCCTCGTGCTGAGAGCTTGGTGGACGGCTAGGGTCAGTCTCACCGGGTCCTTCCAAACTAGGGTTGCGGAATCTTGGCAGGATCTGCGTTCTCTGGTTGACTTGAAGTGGATGACTAAGCTCACCATCACAATCACTTCTGTGATTTTGCATGATGACACTATGCTAAAACAAAGTGCACTGGGGGACCACAGGGGGCAGTGGCCAACAGAACCCAAATCCATCACAAGCTGAAGAGGCGGAACTTCCACCAAGCAGTGTGTTGAACCTGAAGAAAATTGACAGTTTTTACATATGTGTGGCTCCGAAGCGCAAAGTTGAAATAATTCACTGAGGCTTAGTCCTGGGCCGAAGTAAGGCAGTTTGCCTCTGCTCTGAATCCACACTCCCAGTACTTCTGTGATGACTCTTCTGTCTTCGTGGGTGTCTGGTTCTTGGAAGGGAGACGCTCTGGTTATGGTCACAACTCCCCAATGTGCTGTACACGGGAGGTGTAATGTTCCTGGTCACCTGTCCTCACCTAACGCCAGGACATGAGTAAGCACAGCCCCAAGAGACACCCAAGCTATGACGATCACATTGTATTGTAAGCTGCAGGAAAACTATTCTATTATGAGGTTAAATCTATAGTGAGACCGATAACATATCCCAGTACTAAAATAATAGCATAGATAACAGGAGCATTTCTCAGTTCACAGAGCACTTTCTGGGCTTACTGGATTTTCACGAGTTTAATGGTGCTACTTTATGAAAAAGTGGACATTTGTGACTTAACTGATGTCACAGTTGGAACCCAGGTATTCTCACTTCTGACTTTGTTCAGTTCTGCTGCTCACAGCAAGTGGAATCACTGCTTATGTTATCTTATTTGTAGGAGAAAGCATATAATTTGAATGGGGAAGAATGTATCTGTTGACCATAATATCCTTAAGAAGATAAGTAAG